ATAGATGAGAAAATTTTATTGCTTTTGACTTTCACTGCAGTAATAAAATTCAAGAGACCGAATTTGTAACTGAGCGCCTGAAAAATTGCTACTGTTGACACAATAAGCAAAAGAAGTAGAAGAATCCTTGTCAGTTCATTGGCCCAAAGGTTCGAGTAAAGAAAATCTCAAGAAGGATAAAACAGATACTGAAAACAGTCATTTTTATTATTAAAAGCACAGCTGAGTACAATAATGAGGCAGTCTCATGATTCTTATTTTTGACATTTTCTCATTTGACAGATAAATGACCTAAAAATAAAACAAACCTAAATTTTCATAACTGTCTAGCATTCTTTTCAAAAACAGCTAGCAGAAGTAGAAAATAAGTCAAATAAAAACTGAACTTTTTATATTAAATGCAGTTTCTCGGCAGTATCTATTATAAGCCATTGATATTTGAAGAATTTAATCTACAAGTCTCCTGCTAATAATCTTTCTATTAAGGCAACAAATAGTGCTGTAAGAATTCCTTCCTCAAAGTCGCTTCTTCAAATCAGCCTTAAGATGCCATCTCCCACGTACTACTTTTTCTACGATGAACAACCTCAGTAGCTTTTTTACTTTCCCTAGTCCCACTAAAATAATGCAACAAGGCATTGAGCCATATTCTCCGCAGCAGTGCGTGATCGCACCACTACCATTTTCTCGAAAGTCCGGTAGCAAATTAACAATTCGCCCAATCTGTCACGGGTTCTTTCCGCTTCTTTTTTATGCTTACTGAACTTACAGTTTCAAAAATATTTTCTCTTCAAACAGCGATAATAACCTCAAATCATGCTGAAGTGACACTTACTTTGTCGTCGAAAGACGAAAGCTACCTGTAAAGATGACAGAACAAAAAATTCTCAAGTGAATCTTTTGCTAATGAGGAATATGGTATATACGTGCTAGTGAAAAAAGCAGTCGAAATTGCCAACAATAAAAAGGAAAAAAAATTTAGACAATTTCATGCAGTCTTCTGGTGACAGCTTTGAAATTTGTCAGGACCAACTTGAAATGCCAGTCAAAAAATCACTAATGTAACAAAGCCATTCTACTCAGCCTTTGGAATAAAAGTGAAAATTTTCCTGCATCAATATCAAGATAAAAGCATAAAATAAATATTAGTAAAAATAAGGTTTTGCATTTGTAAGATGAAAGATGTAATAAAACATCAAAAATTAACAGTTGGAAAGTAACGCTCCCTCCATATACGAATCATAGGTAAACAAGAATCCATTGTAATATGCGCATGGAGATCTCAGTTGTTCATAACTAACGCTACCACCGAATTGAAACTAAAATAGAAGATGAGCAGAGAACGAAAAGCTGAAATATGTAAAAACTTTAAAAAGAAAGAAATGTTAAAAATGTACTAAAAATAGTCAATCACTACTTTTAATGCCAGTATTACCTCATTAGCAATAGCATTCTTTCCCTCTATCACCTATTTTGGTCAAATGAAAATTCACCATCAATTTTGTTGGAAAACTTCTCTTGTGAGAATTAGAAATGAAATTTTGCATGGTTGCAATTGATCAAACATAAAAGATCATTTTTTGGAAGCAGATGCACTGAACTGTCGTCTGCTTCTAAACGGTAGCGCTTTTTCATTTGAATTTTCTATATTAATACAAGTTTTAGGCGTCCAGTTTTCCAGATGGTTTTCTTTTCTCCTCAAACGTCTATAAATCCCAATAAGCAAGAAATATCGACAATAAACTTACGCTGAGAAGAGTGTAGCAAAAATCTTTCCTTTTATTTTTGTCTCTAATGTGCAATGAAGGAAACACATTCGCATAAGGGCCGCATCGATCATTGAATAACTCTGGAATAAGCAAGTAGTGCCCGTTACATCTTAACTGTAGTATGAATGCAACTAAGTGATATGACTATTATCAGTCAAGTGAAAACGATAATACAAAAAAAAACAAAAGAATATTATTTAATTTTTTTCCCGCTTAATATATAATAATTTATCTACCAAAACGTCGGTATAGTGGTGCCTTCTGTTTCTCTAATCCTCGAACGCTAATTGAGAGCAGGAATATGATGCTAAAGGATTGCAACCGCACAATCATGTAAAAGTTTGCTCAATTATAACTTGGACCATGACGACGTCAAAATAACTGCAGTTTTCGGTTGAGGATCAGAATTACAAACCGTATCAGTGATGCATTGCAAAAATTTTAGTGCGCCTGAAACGTTAGGAGAGAATGAATAAAGAATGATCCTCTATTATTAGATCTCTGCACATGTAAGTCTGACAATTATCTGCGACACTTTAGTGTTTCAGAATATACTCTTCAAAAACAGCTTGATTTATTCTGTTCAAATGTCACAGTAAACGCTGTTTAGTTCCAAGTCTTTGAAAACACTCCGTCTACCTTAAAATCCTCAACAAAGCACATATTTCTGATCATTATACAATTTTTGAACTAACATTATATGACTGTCATTCCTCTTTTACCTCTCTTATTCTGCAAGAGGGGTTTTTTTTGTATTTTTTCTTTTTTTGAACAAAAAGCTGCTACTGAAGCAATTCAAGTCCATTCATAAAAATAAAAATTGCCTTAGCTCACAAACAAAATACAGTATAATTTGATAGCAAAAAACACAACATCCTTACCAGAAATTACCCGACAAATCTGCCTTTTACAATCAAACCTGTTTGAATAACGTACGGTATCTTTATTATGCATGTCAGATATTTTAAAAAAATAACTTTTACTTTTATGACCAATGCTATCAGACAAAACTCAACTGCGTTTTAGCCGCGCTTAGACCTTTCAGCACCATTTTTAAATGACTTCTTTTCGGCCCAGTGTTCAAAATCCATTCTTGAACTAACCAGTCAATAATTTAAAAACAAAACAGATATAGAGCAAACCTATGAACCGCCTTTCATTTTGGTTCTTTTAAAAGCCACCACCATTTAAAAACAATTACGATTACAATTACGATTGTTTCATGGGATACCGGAATGAAAAATACATTGCTTTTGGCGCACAAATACATATTTTATAAAAATGATTATTACTTTTTAACTCTTTAACAGCTAAACTGAAACGACCAGAAAACAACAACAAATTGTGCGACAGGAAACAAGTTTATATAGTTTTTAAGATAGGTATTCAAAGCCACTTACTTTTAAGTACCACTTTTGGGTACCACTTCATACCCCATGCTTCTCTTCAACACATGGCACTGCACTTCATTGCTTCTAGACGGCCATTACTACTGGAAGCAACAAGTGCACGCGACAGCAGTGAGAGCCAAATACTAACATCAATAAACTTAGCAACTTTACTAGGTTGGCCAGTAATTTTCTTCGTCTTTTAAATTTCAACGATCCACCGTCCACTATTGTTTTCGGCACAGCGCCCATGACCGTTTAAACAAGAATTATACTTCACCAAAACTTCTTTTTCCCTATTTCAAGGGCGTTGATTGATGCTATTCATCAATTCGTAAGGATGAACTGTGAAGTTGAAAGAAACAAAGGTACGCGACCTCATCCTCAAGCAGAGAAAATTAGGATGCTCCAAGAGCACTGCAGAAAGCATCTTTACTCAAAGAGAAAAACACAGCTGTTAATCTTCTTTGAAAAACAAACTTTCAAAGATTTGTCAAGATTTCGAAGAAAGCAAAATGTTGGTGTTCAAAAGGCGACGTGGGACCTAACAAAAAACTTAATACTTAACTAGCGGCTCTCATACAACTTGAAATATGCACGAGCAACTTGTCGCCATCATGCACGCTGATGGAACAAAAGCTACAACGAATTTTCCAAAAATAAACATTCCTACTTACTACTTCCGTTTCACAAATTTACGCTTCTAGATGCTTCGTCGTATACGTTTAAGATCGCATCTTAATTAAAGATGAGTAACCTACCACCTACGTCTTAAGATGCCTCCTCCTTAAATGACTGTCCTCACTCTACAACAGAAAAGCTTTGCTGAACACAATTTTTTTCACCTGAAATACGAACAATTTAAAATAAAGGAACTCCTCTCAATTTCAAAACTGTGTTGCAAATCCTTTATCATCTTCCTCAAAAACTCAAATATGGCAGTAAAATAAAAAAGTTACAGAAGTAGACATGAAGCAACGCTTTTTTCAGCTCCAAAAAGTAGATCAAACGCCCCGTTCATTTCAAACAGTTCATTCATGAAGCTCTCATGCTGTCATCATGACTGCATATCTATTACGACATTTCACAGTATATTTTAACATAACTTTCTTCTTGTAATCCAAAGAGTTTTGTGTTTCACATTACACAACTGTATAAATGTAGAAATTTTTTCTAAAAAATATTTGCCATTAAGAACCATCATTTCATACTAAATGCTTGTAACCTATCACACTCATTAGGCTCATTTGAGAAGTATCAAAACTGATCCACTCAATAAACAGTCAGATGGTACCCAACCGTCCAGCAGATGCAAAACTGACTTGTTCAAAGCAAACTGTTAATTGAAAAGCGAAATTATGATATGGCTGCAAGAGTTGAAATGAGCGTAGTCAAAGCAAAATCCCTCCAGAAAATTCCACTGCTTGCACTGTTCTAGACTAATATTACCAAATTTTCAATACTGGCAACAGCAGTACGATAGACACTTGGCAGAAATAGCACAAATACCGTTCAACCAAACCACCTAGTCAAAACGGTTCAAAATGCGTCTTCAAAATATGTTGAATAGAACCTCAAAGTACCGCTGAAGAAAACAATTCTATCATATAAACGATTTGCAACGTTTTAAAATCCAATCAAAAACTAACTATAATCATATCCTATATCGTGAATTCCAAAAAACTAATTCAGTTGACGACAAATCATTCAAAGACAGCAGTAAAAACGAAGTATTCAAGCTGCAGTCCTCTATAGTAACATCGAATAAAGGAGTCTAATTCCATTTCTCTCGATAACGACCATTACTTCTAGTTAACCTAATCAAGCGGAGATGTCGCTCATTCTATTGATCAGATTCTTCTGATTTAACTCTCTTCTTCAAAGACTCAGAAATCCATGTTTCCTCACGAGGTGAGGGAATTGGAGCTGGAAACAACGATTTATAAATACAAAAAAATCACAGAACGATATAGACGTTTTCACTTTTTTTTGCAGTTCATCAGAACAAGTACGTGGCTGTCATTTAATATCAAATAACAGTTAAAAAGAACTGAATAATTAACAATTTAAGCACGATAATACGAAAACAAATCTCAACGTGAGGACAAGAAAAAAAATTAAACTTACACAACTTGAAATTGGTCCACGCAACTTTACCCCGTTCGGCTGTTCTATGAGCAAGAGCTACGGTTTCGTTGGGATAACAGAAAGCAGCCATAGTGCTTAGCCCCGCTACCGAATAGAACCACCTGCGAAAGGTCGATCTGAAAATAATAATTTCAAAATTCGTGCAAAAAATTGAATAAGCGTGGAAAAAAATTAATTTCCTTTTTAAAACAAAATTAAATACTTGAAAACTTTGCAATTAGCGCCGAAAGCAGTACCAAAAAAAATTAACCTCCTCATTCCTAAGATGTAACCAGCCATACCTCCCATAATAATAGCCATCGCTTTAGGGACCGTAGTCCATTCTTCCTTTATCTGTCGGTTAATATCTGAAAAAGAGTCTAAAAAATTAAAATAACCTCCAGAGCTCCCTAAAGTCTCGAAAAAAAAAACAAGCGTCTTGAACTCCATATTATAGTCACATTCAATCCTAAAAAAAGCAGATTATTTAACACTGTGCAGCTGTTGTCTCACCGTTTTATCATTTAAAAAACGCGAATTTTCAAATTTTTACTGACCAAACGAGAATCATATCGCTCTACAGTTTGAAAACCAAACAAATTTCTAACGAAACTTCTCAGTGAAAAGAATCATTAAATGGGAACGCAGTCAATAACTAGACGCTGAAACGTCAAACACTTACCAGAAATGATTTGAACGGTGTGGTGCAACACGTTGTCAGCCTCCTCAAATCGTTCCTAAAATGTCTTGCATCATGATGAATAATCACTAAATTGTTGAATAAAAATTACCAAAAAAATTTTAGGCAATTACCAAAGAAACAATGCGATGTTTGACTTAAGATAATATGCTCCGACGCCGAAGTGTAGCATACACACTCGTTCTTATTTCCAAACTCTATTATCGAG